GAGCTGGTGGTGGAAGGCGCCGGTGGGGAAAGCGCGCCGCCGCCTTCCCAACCCCTTACCGACAGCAGCGGGGAATGTGCCTGTTCCTCTCCCTCAGGCTGGACACTGGGTGTATTTTTTCCAGTGAGAACCAGGGAGAGCTTGTGCTGCGTCGGCTCTGCAGACCCTGCTCAGCAGTGGAACGGAGAGAGCAGAGAGTGAGTCTGTTCCAGCCAGACAGCAAGCAGCCCAGAGGACACCTCAGGACACCCTCAGGGCTGTTTTGCTCTGTCCCAGGCAACTGCCTAAAGGCCTAGCATTGGCCATGCTTAAACACAAGATCAGGTCTGTAAGCCTTACTTCCTCATCACGTACGGAAAAGAAGGCTTTGATTTCCCCAACGGGTACAAATGCCCACAACTCAACATCCACAAAAACACAAGATACTGAAGTGGTCAAGCTTTGGGATATTCCAATTGAAAAGTGTCTTTTTTGGAAACAGTAACTCTTACTGCAAGGGTGACCTTGCAAAAGAAGTAATCTTCTACTGTGCACTGCACCCTGCAGAGTGTGCACTGGTAAATCATGCAGTTCAGGCTCAGAGGTTTCCATATACACTGCGTCATCTCCACTCTTGCTTTTTCTGCCTTTCTCACATCTCAGAGGGACTCACATCAACACTATCCTGCCAAGAGTTTGCTGTTCTCAACTACTTTTAACCACTCTTCCAAACTTTGCAGAGGCCTTCAGATCCTTTAACAGAGACATGAAAAAGGAGCTAAGGCAACAACAGGGAGTCACAGTGGCCACAACAAAACAAAGGAGAAAGGACAGGGCTGATCTGGACTTCTTGGAGAGCTAAGGAAAGGAAGACATGGGTTTGATGATGGTCCTAGAATGAACACCAGAGTAAAGAAAGATAATCGCCAACATGAACAGGAATGTTCTTCAGAGAGAGACAAGTAGCAAAAGGTCAAATGACACAACATAGAATAAGAATCAACAACTCAGTTTGACGAGATATATTGGCAGCAAAGGAAAGGAGCTCTGTAGAAGACAGACACCGTATGTCTCGACTTTGACAGAGAAGAATAATTTAGTATGTCACAAGAAAAAGGCAACGTGGAAACCAATGGTGTGGACAAGAGAGAAATCTGGACTTTTGAAATAGAAGAGAGATCAGCACAACTGATAGCATTCAACACTGCAAGAGGAAAGCAAAGAAGTAGCAATGGTGAAAACAGTGGGTAGAGAAAATTATGAAACTAAAGAATAAACAGAGAACTGAGAAAAGACTTGTTTCCCATTAAAATCCACTTGATGCACGATAGCATCTTGATGAGGCTACGTACTGAAATCCGAATCAAAGTACTAATCTTCCAACAGACCCTGTGATTCAGTTCAGTCCACTGTTGTGAAATGGGTACCAGCAATAAAGATCTATAATTTCCTTAGCTTTTACGCAGGCATCCTAAATGAGTGGCACTGCAATGTTCAAATCTCACAGATCTGACTACATAAGACTGACAGGTGCACTGGAAGTCAAGGGAAATGCCTCCCAAGATCTGTTAAGAACACAAGTGACACCCTTGTGGTTGTATGGCATCAAAATAAACTCAACATCTTATTTATCAGACTGGTGTTTAAATTTCTTTTTGAGAGTAACAATGGGAACTGCACAAAATACACTTTAAATGCAATTTTACCCTAAAAGAGGGATCGGAGGAAAATCATTAAAAATACTGATACTACACATATTCCTTCCATTTGTTCTGCCAGCCAACTCTTAACATCGTAACGGTGTTAAAGGACATAAAAATCAAACATTAGCAAGTTTCCAATAAAGTCATACATTTGTTTTCTTACTCTGCCTCATCTTATTACTAATCCAAGTGAAAAAACACCAGAAAAAAAATGAAACTCTTTTGTACTGTAATTCTTGGACCATGTACATGAAGTTGTTTATACTCCAATCTACCTATTTACTATAAGCTATTCAGCAAACTGATTTTGGCAGGGGTTACGTGTCTTTGAAAAACTCCTCAACAAAGCTGACTAATTTAGGCAGCAATATTTCCAAGCTTTTATTTTCTGAGAATCTCTTCAAAACTAATGGCAGAGGTATCCCCAACTGAGTTAGATTTTGGCTATACTGCCTCCAATCTTGCCTTTGCTTTAACCATTCTGATTAATTTCACAAATAAAGTAAAATACAAAATGCTATATTAGTTAGGTGAGGTTTATACATTTTCTTTGAAAATAAGAAGATTTCACTATCATAAATGAAGTTCTAAAGCAAGTATGTAGACAGAGCAATGACTTGGGCCTATTGAAGTCATAGTCCAGTAATGTCAAAACGAGCTATGTTTCACACAGTCTGTAATCTTCTCCTCAGAACCAGAGGCACAACTCCAACATCCCAGTGATGTGTCTCATAACTACAGACATGCTATGCTGAAGCACACCAAAAATTTTTCCATTTCACCAGCATAATGAAAAAGAAGCTCTAAACCCTGAAAGGGTTAAACAGAAGAGAAGACCAGAAACAATTGAACAGAATTTCCTTTATGTCACCATTTTGTGGTGAAAGAGACCCTGGGCTGGACTACTTCCATAAACGCAAGTAAAAAGAAAATAATTTCTTTTAAAAATATGTAACTGGATAATCTCATTCTAATGCAGTTCGATGTGTTTGTTCCATAGCCTACAAAAGGCTTTAATTCATACATTACTCGCACATCTTTCCCATGCTGAGACTCATCACTTATCTCATACATAACCAGCATTAGCATCCCCAGAAAGCTTGGTCTGCCAGAAGAGGAACGGCCTGTTTCAAAAGGCAAGGCAAAACTACTCATTAATAAAACAAAGATGATGGGGAAGGCTGCCAAGGGGCAGCTTTATCTAACAAGACAATAAAGTACACACAATTTAGCAAGGTGGTGACTACATTTTCTGTGTTTAGTTTGCAATGTCCACACAACTCAAGTATTCCAATAACATCACATGCACATGGTATACATAACGCACAGGCATTTAAGTCAAAGTATTATGTCAGGATGTATATGACAACCTATATGGATGTGAAAGAGATCAGGAGTTTTGTTGTCTGCCCTGCTGACCAATGTTGTAGCATTATGTCAGTTTGCTGCCCTATATCCATCAATTTATCTCGTCTTATGCCTAGACTGAATGTTCCTTGGAGTAAAGACATGCAAACTCTTAGCACATCATGATCTTGTTCCACGACCAAGTCTTTAAAACACTATAGCATTATAAATAACCACATTCACATTTACTAAAATAATACAACCATTCTAGTTAACTAGCCTCTAAAAAATGACATGAGTTAATACTGTGCTACTTTAAAATATAAAACCCAGATTTTTTTTTCCACTAGCCTGGTTAAGCAGAGGCAGTCCATCTACTTCAGTTGAACTGATATATTTGTGACCCTACAGAACCAGAGCCAGTTCAATGCCAGGCTCTAAATTGGCAGCTAGTGATTCCAGGCCCAATCCTTGGCCTTTCTGATGAGATTTGAACACCTGCTCCTTCAGGAGTGAATTGCAATCAATCCATTTAATGTGGGTCTTCAAATG